ACACTTAATTTGCACAGTCACGCTATAACTTAAACAAAAGCTATAATTCACAACGAACGAACGATTCACGCGCTTGACTCAATTGTCGTCTTTATCTCTGTCTGCAATTCAATTCCATTGTTGCCGTCACTTCTTGGCGGTCTTATATACAAGAATACTGCATATCTAGTAAACACTCGAGGCTTCGCGAAAGGGCATGCATTTTCTAGAAGCTCACGACGTGTTACTAGCGTCACGTGACTTCCGCTGTCGTAACAATATATTTAATTTTTTACTCTTTCTCAAAGGTGGATGTATAGGGACCTTGAATAATCAAATGGTGTTGTTTGTATTTTATGTTAAATTCGAAGCTTTAGCTTTATTTTTACTGTTTTAAATAGTTTATCTTTAGCTACACGTCATCAGAATATGTGTAATTTCACTCCTAAAGGTTTTGTTCAACGAACGTGCCCAACTTCAATAATACTCTCTGACTGCAGGTCAATTACTCACTGTCTACACACACATTGTTCCGTCACGTTGTCACCCTCTTATATGTATACCAGTCTACCCTATATCTAGTAATCTCCCGACTATTCCCGAAGGTTCGAAAGAAGTGGCGTGACACTAGTCACGTGACCTCGCTGACGCAACACTATAAATCACAGTGATTCACACACTTTACTTACGGTGTCTACTGTTCACTTGACTCAATTATCTATCTCTTCAATCTATCTGCATATTTCTCAATCGCTGGCTTTATTTGCCGGGCTTATATACTAAAAAAGAGGGCGCCTGGAACAAACTATAGTTGCCAGGAAAATTCATGATCCTTCTAGAAACTCCAGCACACATGTTCCCAGGGTCGGGTGACTTCCGCTGTCGTAACAGTATTAATTGCTAGGAATAGATTTATTATGAAGGTTATAGTCCCCTGATGTGTTTATTTTTTCCTGAAGGGAATAAATACATTTTTTAAACTGTTTCTCAACGATGGTTTAGAAATATTTCAATCCTGTTATTTTTAAACCAATAGAACTGGAAAATATAGGCTTCTGACAATTTCAGTTTGAGTTTACCTAGCTGAATTGATGCTACAGTTCTTCACTGGTCATTGTGCGAGTTTGGGTTAACTTGAGTTATATGTTTTTTTCATATTATTATTATGATAAAGCACATATATATATGCATACTAAGTTGTAAACTGATAATACTATGTGACACTGATCAGAGAATTTTTTAATAATCAATTTACTGATTTGTTTCTATATCATTCGCTACCGTAACGTCCATCACATTAAGTAATTTTATGTTTATTACCTGTGGTAATGTTCAGTGTAAAAACAAAACAAACAAAAACATTGGACGAGGGCGCTCAGTTTATACGTAAAATACACAGAGGGTATCTACAATAATTATTAGGTGTAATTGCAATACTGATAGTATTTTTGTTTAGTTATTTTTTTTGTACGACTCATATGTTATTAGGTACTCTGTAATTAATATAGTGACTGGTAGATCCACAAGCAATTTGATGCATAAATAGTCTAGAAAAGATTGTTTAAAAACTGATGGCTAATTACAAAGTTAAGAGTTTAAAACAACAAGTTTTAAACATTAGAAAGAATTATGTTTTTCACATTCACACAAGTTTTACTACGTATAACTGATAAAAACTTGTATGAAGTTTTAAACGCCTTCGTTCATGTTCGACAGTCCCCAGTAGATTTACGGACTTCAAAAGTTAAAATCCAGGGTTCGATTTCCTACGATGAATAGAGCGGAGATAAATAATTTTGTAGCATCTCGCTGACAAAAACAACACCAATCATGTTTAACGTTAGCATTGCTGACTTGAAGCACAAAGAGTAAAAATGCTCTGTTGTAATGTAAGTAGTTTTTGCATAAATGACCAAATTGTATACCCATACTTTCACGAAAAGAAACCATTCAAATAAAAACTAGGCATTAATTATTTTTGAAAATATTACAAGTAAGTTATTAGAAGGAACATTCCATATTCAATAAGAATACATTGTTTAACACTTTTTTGAAATCCCGTTACTTTATGATTTTTTATTTCGTAATAATATATATATAAAAGTTTCTTGTTTTCTCACCAGGGTTCTTAAATCGCCTGTATGTATATGTAACATAAATTTTGTTATTATAATGTCGGTTATTTGTCTTCCCATGTTTTGGAACATTCATAAGGGATTGTGTGGACATTATATATATCGAGTTAGGCCAATTTTTAAAATAGGAGTAGAAACCGCTAAACATTACGAATGGCACCTAAGACCGTACATTACAGTTAGGCCTAACATACCGGCTACACGTGATAAAACTAAAAGTGTGCATGTTGGAATCACAGTGCAAGATTCGCGAGTAAAATTTAACAAGGAAATCAAAAAGGGTAAGTCATCAAAATTATTTTTATTATGCTGATTACTATTTTGTAATGACATAAGTATCATTTTGCCCATAAAGTAATTAATAAAGTGGTTAGAGCAAGCTGCCTATCTAGATTAAGAAGGAAAAAATCAGTCCGATAATGAGCTATTTATAATATACTGTTATTGTTAGGGTAGCTATAATTATACTATAGTATAACTTAAAAATTGTAACTTAAAATTCTTTACCAATGACAGCGTATTGAAATTTAGAATATCACTATATTACTATTAGTGAAAAGAACTTGAAGGCATTTTATTTTTTAGTAAAAAACGTCAACAATGAGTAGCATTAAATCAATCTAACAGTAACTGTAATATATCGAAAATCAGTCAAGTATATTTGACATACTTAGAAATATGAAACCTAAGCATAACCTCTAACATCTTTAAAATTATATGTTTCTGAGAATAGGAGAGTTGCTAATATTACTTCACTTCAAAACTCAAAGTTTCTGTTAATTAATTGATCCCACAATTGTATTTGCTCTTTTCACCACTTCCAAATATTAGATTAAAGGCTTGAGGCTTTTATTGATCATCACACCCAAATCCTTCTTATTTTTCTCCTACACCAATAATATATTTCCGAGGTTCTGTATCAATGAGGAATTTTATTTTATGCAGATTAGCTCACATAGCAAGATGTCCAAGTCTTACTGCATTGTGGAAGCAGTTTCCAAAAGATTTAGAAATGCTATGTTTATGTAGTGGTCCATATTATTAACATAGATGATAAGCAACAAAAATTAGTTTCATATGTGTTATTTAAAAACAAGATATAATAGATTAAAAAGTTTGTAACAGACAATGTAACTTAAAATATGTTGTTTTTGTAATTCTCTGTGTACGTGAAGGGTGTTACTGACATCCCTTGATTACTTTCCCTTCTTAGAGTGGATATACTTAATCAAATTGCATGACATTTTGTAAAAACTTACTAAATTCATATTCCTTTTGATACTTTATTTTGATCATTGTAGTAGTCACCACTTGGAGCCATAAATTTTAAGAAATGACAAAACATTGACAGTTATACTTTTGTTAACAATATTCTTGGTTGAGATTAGAGCTGGATGATTAGCACAATTAATTGATGTAATTAATTACATCAGTTAGTATCATGTAAAATATTCAATTAACTGAAACTATTTAAGTAATCAAAATATTGCCATTATGACTTATTATTTTCAATTAATTCAATTAGTGTTATGACTCACATAAAGCTATGAAGTTACCAACAAGTAGTTGGACACACACTACTCACCTTTACACATATCTATGTAGTTACTAGTGATATAACTAGCTAGGTTGTTGTAGTGTGTGCTGTAGGTAAATTAATGACATGCTAGTATTGAGTCAAAAGACAAAATATGTCAGAGTTATTTTAATGAAGAAAAATTTCAAAAGTAAGCTGGAAATCTGAAAAATTCTTAATTTGAGTATGTAAATTTATAGGATAGAATAAAATAATAACATTTTAAACAAATGTGTGTGTGCGTGTGATGGTGAAAAATATAGCTTTCATATACGTTAGAGGTGGATGGTTAGGTTGTACTGTTCAGATTATTATAAATCAACCATTAATCCCAACAAGATCAAGAGGAGGCTAAAAATTTTAAAAATTCACAAAAGTTTAAAGATATAATGTTTATATCATTTAAGAAAATTGTTTGGGTAATTTTAAATACCAAATGACTTTTGTATGTGCTGTGAAAATTATATGAAAGGTATACACTTAAAGCCCAAGCAGACAGTAAGTTTGTGGTTCAGTAAAAGAGTTGTGTTTGGTAGGAGTAAGAAAAAACTGACCTTTACAGTAAAAGGAGGCAGTCATGCACCTCTTTATTTAAAGCTTAAAACCTGTTATTTACCAATATACAAATTAACATTTCCAGCCTCTTCTTTTCAGTGTTTAACAAGTTAAGATCCTTCCCATAATAAGTAGACCAAACCTGCATAAAAAACTGCAGATGAGATTTAACTAGAGGCTTACAGCATATAATAATGTTTTTGGTTATAAACTCAAAATTCCTAGAAAATGAACGAAGAGCTGTGTTTGCTTTTTCCACTACAGCTAAATGCCGAACAGAGACTTTAGCCTTTTTGTTTCATCAGTTACACTTTGTATTTTCTTCTGCATCACCAGTGCATCTTTGACACATGAAGCGAGTCCTTTCTCAGTGTCCGTACCTCAAGTGCATTACTTTATGATTGTCAGTATTAGAACTAATTATGTATTTTCAGGTCCATTTTTTTGTGAAGATTATAGGATTGTTAGTAAAAATTTATAAATAGTATTTTCCAAGAAGTTATTCACATTATTAACAGAAATAATGAATAAAAAAGGCATTAATACAGACCCCTGAAGATCTCAGTTTGTCATGTATACTCACATTCATAAAAATGTTTTTTTTTTCACCATTGTTTTATATTGTGAGGGGTTACATTAGTCATACACTTTCATTTGAAAACCATATTAATTTATCACCTTAGTTTTCTGTTTCAAAGTAACTAGTCATATACTCTCATTTGTAAAAATGTTCATTTATCACCACAGTTTCCTACACTAAGGTTCTCCTGTAGTAATATGTACTCTCATTTGAAAATGAAAAAAAACATTTAAGCAGTGCCAAATGTCTGTACATGTAGAGGAAAATTGACATAGTTAAACTTGTTAACACAATTACTTAGAGGTGATAAAGATTAATCTGAATATTCTCTTCCTCATATCTGTTACCAAATTTCAGTTAGAAGTGTGAGACTAGACATTACCCATACTGAGCATGTTCAATTATATGTAAAAGGGCTTTTAGTAGGAGGATTAATGCTATCAGTGTATGAGGATTTTGTTGTGGCTGAATGTGGAAACTGAAGTTTGTGCATATATGAAATAATTGTCTTTATGAATATTAAATGTATAATACACCAAAACTGATAAAAATAGTGCATTGTAATTCAAAAGTTGTGACTATTTTGCACAAAAATAATCTTTAAAAGTAGTTTTTTAACAGGATTGTCAATTTTACAAAAAAGAAATGAAACAACCCAGAAAACTAACCTGGTAAACCTCATTACACGATCTACGTTTGGTCCTATGAAAGAAACAGCTTTCCTAAAGCTAATTCATGTATGTTCGTACGGTACCAGAAAAACAAAAGAATCAGTGGCAGCTGATGAATGTATCTCAGAGAAACCTGGTGATGAACAAAAAATTATTGAAGATAATATGAAGAAACTATCTCTTATTCAGAGATATAAAAAAATGTTGAAGGAATATTGGTATGTTCTGATACCTGTCCACTGTGTAACATCCTTGGTTTGGATTAGTAGCTTCTACTATGCTGCCAAGTGGTAAGTTTTAATTATATTTAAATGTTTTTATTAAGTATATATATATATATATATATATACATACATTCCTTGTTACAAGTTATGTATCATATAATTACCAAGAAGTTTTAATCAATGAGGTTGAGATGCATTCTTTAGAATTACAGGTACTTTATATGAATCGGTTGTTGAAGGAGGTTCTGTAAAGTCTAAATACTAATTCTTATCATCTGTATTATTTTTCTCTCTAAGTATATATAGGTATAGAATGAGATAAATTTCAGGATTTAAGTAACTAAGGAAGTAATTTTGGCATACCATTACATACCACAGGTGTCTTTCTGTAAACATTTAATAAACTTGTGATAATCCTCTAACTCAGACAAAGATTAATATACCACAGTTGTCACTTTGTGAAAACGTAACTTGTGATAATCCTTTAGTTTAGGTGAAGGTTACACCACAGTAGTTATTCAGTAAAAGATTAATAAACTTGTGATAATCCTCTAGCTAAGGTAAAGTTTAATATACCACAATTGTCATTCTTTAAAAACTTAATAAACTTGTGATAATCCTTTAGTTTAGATGAAGGTTACACACCACAGTAGTTATTCAGAAAAATATTAATAAACTGGTGATAATCCTCTAGTGTAGACAAAGGTTACATATGACAGTTTTCACACTGTAAGAGCTAGATAAACATGCTTGATGCTGTGTCTTTGCCACCGTGAGTTCAGTCATACACAAGTTGAATGGTATAGAGAGTTCTACAAGTTATTATGAGTTGGCTAGTTTGGTAAAGCTGCAACTAAACTTGTTTTGTGTTCCATCAGACAACTGTAGATTGTAATAACAGTAGCTTGGTAAAGCTGCAACTAAACTTGCTTTGTGTTCCATCAGACAACTGTAGATTGTAATAACAGTAACTTGGTAAAGCTGGAACTAAACTTGTTTTGTGTTCCATCATACAACTGTAGATTGTAATAACAGTAACTTGGTAAAGCTGGAACTAAACTTGTTTTGTGTTCCATCAGACAACTGTAGATTGTAATAACAGTAACTTGGTAAAGCTGGAACTAAACTTGTTTTGTGTTCCATCAGACAACTGTAGATTGTAATAACAGTAACTTGGTAAAGCTGGAACTAAACTTGTTTTGTGTTCCATCATACAACTGTAGATTGTAATAA